ATACTTGCTGACGTTTTACCAATAAAATGGTACCTCATATCCATCGTCGCACGATTCCCGCTAATGCAAGCCCTCCCTCGTCCCTTTCCCTGATTCGCTACGGCTTCCTCTCCTGCAGCTCTCAATGATAGTGTGAAAAAACCGGGGAATAGAAACCGGCGGGTTTTCGATGCAAGACACTCAAGAGCCACGAATACATCGATTCCGACGCGCCTGCTCTGATGCACGGCTGCCTTTTGACGCACTATCTTGTCGGAGCCCCATGCACCCTGCAATTACATCGGCCCGCAATATTTTCCGACGATATCCGGCCACGCTTCCCACCGAAAGTTTTCGAACGGTTCACCCGGTTAAGGAAAACCGCGCAAGGCTACTAATGGCGGTTGCCATCTTTTCTCAATTTTGATAGTGCACAGTTGCAATTGTGATGCAACTACGTGGACATTATTTTGTTGTTTGGACAACTGAGTACTTATGAAAATGTGATATCAGTTGTATAACGATATATGTTTATTACTTGGATTATTTGTGACTTTTAATTTGCTTGTTCAGTGATCATATATTTTCGATAAGGATTTTTTAGATAGTAAGTTGTTAGTGGCTACAAATTAATATATAATGTTTTATCTTCCATATACATTTTTGTAATGTTGATAAATAAGATAAAGGAATACGTAATATTTTTATGGTGTTACCCATATTTAGAAGCATTTATTATCTATCTTTGTTCCTTTTAACAACCATGCAACGCTTAAAGATTTTATTATTGAATGAAGCATGTGATTAATAATTTTAATAACGTTCTGGAGTTGAATAGCATATTGAAATTGAAAGCAGTGTGTGATTAGAAAGTTGAATAACTACTTGTACTCTTAAATGAGAATATCTGGTGTGTTTGCCTGTGACTGGCTAATTCTACGTCCGGGTCACATTGATGATAGTACCGTGTCTTGTATTTTCATTCTTCCATGGATTTATATAGGACTAATACACAGAGAGTAATATTATAAGGCTGATGACACATGAAGCTATTACCACGAGTAGAATGTAACAGTCATGGACAGACACAATAATGAAGTGGTGCTCCTGTTAAGAGTTTCATTTTCATTGGACCACATATTTCATGCATACACAAAAATTACAAACCTATAATATCCACTGAAAAAAGAAAGATTTGTGAACTATTTATAAAAAGTATTGTATTATTCCATTTTGATGGAACGTAAACGTGAATTTACACTTCTAAAAAGATAGCTACAAGGTTTTCATGAAATAAAACTTTCTTTTCCCTGTTGAGAGTCCCATCGAGTCGAAAATAAAATAAGAACGTTAATTAACGTTCATTAAGGTTTTCGTTCCACTACTTTCTGCAGATTGAAGTTTTCTGTAAACGCGTAAAATACACAGTGTGCCCATTACTTCCAAGAAAAACCGCGCCACAATTTGTCTGACCGATTCCGTGAAGATCGAATTGGCATTGTTCATAGCGCACCGCGGTTTGGATCGAAGTAAGTAATGGCATTTCGGTATTTCCAATTACCCAACCACAAAAAGATAAAATAAAATTTGCACTAAAAATTATTGAAAACCAATTCTCTTCAGTTTATATAGCTATTACTTCCCGGGAACTTTAAAACAAAAATTTACTTTCCCTGGCAAAAAAATGGCACCTTGAAAACATCCAACTTTAACTGTTTCTACAATTACAATTTTACCGAAACTACATTAATTCCATAATATTCAACATCAATGAATATTCCAGAAGCAATTGTAAATTCAAGAAAGTCGTCGATAAAGGAGGAACAATTCTTTAAAGAAAACGTCATCGAAATCCTTCGATCCGGACCAACGTAGGTCGTTTCCCGCCACCTGATCCCCTTGCCGTGCCAGGGAAAGCCTTCTTAGGGGGGCTATCAGCCCGTAATGCGTTAGATTAATTAACGTAATCATAATGAGACGATCTCATCTTGACGCACAATGTAGGCTAGCCGATATCACGAGTGTCCCGATGTCCCCGTGCGTGCACACGACCCCATACCTGTAACACGCGCACGCGAACGCCCACCCACACACGAAGGAGGGAGCCGTGTATTACTGACAAGATAGGTCGAACAATGGCTTCCATTACGGGTAGAGACCGGCTGAGTTAATGGGCAAATTGTCTGCTAAGTCATTTAAAGGGCTAAGCCTGCGCACGCGGCAGCCCGGGTTTGCTCCAGTCTTCCACCCTCCCCATATCCCGCACCATCTCTCTCTCTCTCTCTCTCTCTCTGTTTCTCTTACCCTCTATCTCTCCCCCTCTATCTCTCTATTCGCGCGGTTTGCTGACAATCGATGCAATTAGATCGATGGCGTACCGCTAAAGGGACGATAAGGTTGCGAAATTTCGGCACCGGTATATACGCGGAAAGTTTCATTCGATTACGGTGGAAAGTTCGCAGAAATTGGGGCGGTTCCTCCCCGCGATGATTACGACTACCCCGCGAATGTGTTTTCGCCCGGGCCTGAACGGATCAACTGAAATCTGGGCGCTTTCGCTTGCGTTTTGAGAAACTCTGAAATGGGTTGGGTAACTTCGGGCAACACGTTCAATCGTTTCTTATCGTGGAAACGATTTGGTGATGTAAGTGAAGGTAAACTTGTAACTATTACGTATAACCTATAATTTGAATATCGACTAGAAATTTGTTGTAATCTATGTGGCAAAAGTAATCTTTCATTTTTTTTATGAATTTCTGTTGGTTTCGAGGAATCAATTATATGTTATGAATACAATTAAAAACTGATTCATTCGAAATTTTATTCCCTGTCGCTAGCTTTTTAGAATTAATTTTTAATATAGAACAGTGAATAATGTATATAATTTATAATTATGCATTGTGACTTTAAATAGTTTAAGTATGAAGTTATCTTTCGTAACATTCTGTAGCATGATTACAAGTCAAAATTGTGTACTGCACTTCTGTTTAATATCAATATCTATATGATCTTCATTTTTATTAGTTAAATAAATCGAATTTTAGGACCATTACACACATATCGCATACTGTAATTTGTTATTCAAGTTCCAAAATTTTAATAAAAATTTATGAACTATCCAAGCAACATCAACATAAAAAATATTCAAATAGGTTCATTCCAAACTACACAAATTTCCATTCACCTTAAAGTAATTAATCTAGAATTCAACAAAGTGGCGCAAACCATACAATTTCCCCAACCAAAACCGCAACCGTTATCATAAACAAACAAAAACAAACATCATGCCGAAATTCGAAGACTCAAGGTCAGCCAAAAGAGAAAAGAAGAAATGAAAACAGTAAGTTACAAAAACACGGGACCAAACAGGACAAACTTATTTCTCTGTTTTGAGAAACTGAAACGATACACACTGTACAAACATCGGAAACGAAGGGTTCCGTATCGCAGCCTAACGCAACAAAGAAGACCTACCCTACGCATTCCCCCGGCAAAAGCAAGTTCAAGGACCATCGACAATCGCCGTGTGGCAAGACCACGGGGGGGGATGCGAGGGTGACTGACGGGGTGCGGGAGATGGGGTGATGCAAGGCAATATGCTACAAGTTTGTTCATCGTGACAAGGGTACTCACTCTGGCTGGCAGGACGTTTTCCTAGCAGCACCAGTGATCCGAGTGATCCTCTCCCTCCCTCTCTACCTCTCTCTCTCTTTTTCTCCCTCCCTCTACCTTTGTCCGTCCCTCTCAATTTCTCTCTCTCTCTCTCTCTCCTTAATCTCGTTCGCGGGAATTGCGTGCAGCACGTTCTTTCTCGAGCCTGTTAGAGGATGCAACCGGGGCGCTGATCGATCGCGGAAACACGACCACGTGGCGATCACGAGCAAGCTGTCCAATGGGGATCAAGCCGCGAGGAGAAAAGGGAGAAAGACGTAGAAGGTGACAAGAGACAAGAGATTCTCAAGGATCCAGGATCCCAGTCCTTTCGTCTCTACTCGGCATCATTCATTCAGTCACCGTTCCTTTGACGTCGACGTTTTCACGCAGAGTCTTTGCAGCTCGCGACAGAGCGCGAGTTAAACCGGTGGTTCACGGCGCGCGCCGATAGTACGTCGCGCGGACAACGCACACGTGGCACCGCGACGCCTGCCCGCGGCTGACTGAACGCCGGGAACCGGAAACACCGGGACCTGCGCTCCGAACTGCCTGCGTGCGTGCTTGTCTTCTCGATTCGAGTTTTCTCTCCTGATTCGAAAGCTGTTTCTTTGGTTTAGCTCGTGATTGTACGGTTCGACCGGGATTCCTTGCTCCTTCCCGGCGAAATTTTTGGGCGGGATTTCTGTACAGACGCTGGCAGCGCGATGTCGGTGCTCGCCTGCTCTAGCTGGCGGGCTTTTTTCGAGCTGAGATGGACAACCACACGATCTGGCCGGCGCGGAGCGACTGCGACGGACCGCCTAAGGAAGAGCCCGTGCCATCTAGCGGAACCCGCCTGAAAACGCGACCCTTTCTCCATCCCCCTCCTCCAACCCCATCCCACGCGACCACCGACCACCCAAC